CGGAATAAATACTAGAGGACTGAAAATTAAGGCTAAGAAATACCAACGCTGCAGGGTTACCTATTCTTACCCATTCCTATTGGAAAAGCAGAAAGTACTACTAGAAGCTAACACTGACTGAAGTTTTACAATGTGCTAGGCACTGTTCCAAGTTCTTTATATCTCATTAAATCCTCACGACAACTCTATAAAGTATGATCTTCATTTTACTCTTCATATACATGAGGTAAAAGGCAGAGAGGCCTGATGTGGTAGCAAATGCCTGTAATCCCAGCACTTTGGGAGGCTGAGGTGGGTGGATCACCTGAGGTTGGGAGTTCGAGACCAGCCTGGCCAACATGGTGAAACGCCATCTCTACTAAAAATACAAAAATTAGCCAAGTGTGGTGGTGCAGGCCTGTAATCCCAGCTACTTGGGAGGCTGAGGCAGGAGAATAACTTGAATCCGGGAGGTGGATGTTGCTGTGAGCCAAGATTGTGACACTGCACTCAAGCCTGGGTGACAGAGCGAAACTTCATCAAAAAAAAGAAAAGAAAAGAAACGAGAGGTGACGAAAGGAGAGGAGAGGACAGGAAAGAAAAGAAAAGAAAAAAAAAAAAGAAAAGAAAAAAAAGGAAGAGAGGTAAATAACTTGCCCAAGGTCATACAGCTTGAAAGCAGTAAAGTCAGGTTCTGAATCCAGGCAATATGTCTCCAGCACTATTTTGTTCTGCTGCTGCCTGCATGCATCTGTGTCCTGAGACCTTTATAAGCATTGTCTGATATGGCCCTCATAACAACCATATATATAGAGTAGGCATCATTGATTCCACTTTTATAAGACGCTCAGAGAGGCTAAGTAACCCACCCAAGAGGTATATAGTGAGCCAAGATGCAAGCCCAGTTCTCTGATTCCAAAGCTCAGAAACCAAATCTTAAGAAGAGGTAATTCTTGGTCCCTATTCCCTACAGTACATAGCGCAAGCTCTGCCTATGGCAGGCTGTTTTCCCATCATCCTGTTCCAGCTGTGCACCTATCACAAAGATGGACATCCTAGGCAGACAGCCTGTGGGACGAACCAGGAGGGCTGGCTCCAGTAAGGCAGGAGCTTGAGATGAAAATGAATTCTCCTACGCAACAGTCCCACAATTTGTGCCAGTGAGACACAAGATCTGCGAGAAGTAAAAAAAAAAAAACATTCATTTATAAGAGCAGGCTTTTACCTAAATGATGCCTTCCAGCTGAACAGCCTAAAGTTTCTCATGCCACCTCAAAATGTGAGCATAAGCAAGCAAGGAGGTTTGGGATCTTTCCATTTTGCTGACAGAAAGAGGAAAAGCAAAGAAAAGACATGTAGTTTGTTTAAATCTCACCACCAGCCACAGACAGAGCCAGACATCAGTGGGGTTTTATCCTGCAATCTCACCTGTTACCTATGGTCTAAAGGGAATTTTTGGTATTACAGCCTTTAGGAAAAAAGCACAAAAACTTGAGACATACATACATGTACCAATCAGCATATACCTGAAAAAGAAAAAATTTCAGAAGTTTTGCATCTTTTCCTAGTTTCTCTGTTGTTTTCACAGGTTTGGGGTTTTTGATTTTTTGTTTTTAGCATATGTCATTTGCCTCCCATGTCAGGACAAAAGCACATTATAGACACATGGTAAAATGGCAGCTGCCCATTTACTCTTTTACCTCAAACAGTCCCTGGCTTGCCTGCAAGGACCCTGAAACCAAACAGCAGCTGACTACAAGGCTGAGGAAAAAGGCTACTGCCATCTAAAAGTAGGAGAGAGGAAAAGGTGAGTGAATTACAATCTTAACGCTAATCAGATCCAACCCTATCATTTTATAGATGATTTTTAAAATGGGGGCTAGGAAAAAAAAATCACTCTTATACTGCATCCACTAAAAATCCAGTAGGTTAACATTGTGATTAAAAGCTTAGACTCTGGAGTTAGACCTTGAGCAAGTTACTTAACCTCTTTGTGCCAAAATTTCCTAATCTGTAAAATGAGAATAACCATAATACCTGTTATAAGAATCAAATGCAGTACTTCCAGCAAAGAGCTTAGAATAGTATGTAGCACATAGTAAATGTTCAAGAAATATCAGCTATTATTTTTACTATTTTTTAAAAGGATCAACCTGGCCCAGGCTGAATTCTGTAAACAGAAAAATTCCTATGTTAGAAATACAAGGTGAAAACCAGCTCAAACTTCCATTTTAAGCCAAGCAGAAGGCTCCAATCTTGTTGTGCTGGCAGCTACTTTTCATTCACCTGAAGTGTTGAATCAATGGGAATACTGCCAAGTCAGAAGTCACATACTGATTTATATGGTAGGTATTGTGCTAGGACACTCATTTCTATGTCCCTGGCAACATCTAAAATTTAGTTAACCTCAGATTCATGGGAAGACAGATACACATGAATAAACTGACACACTATGATAAATGCCACATAGAGGCCCTGAGTGCAACAGGGAAAGAAGAGAGCCATATTCTCTCCTGTCTGGAGGGATCTCAGAGAACCTCATGGAAATTGAGGAGGTTCTTAAGGATGGGCAAAACTTGAACAGATTGAGAAGGGAATTAAAGGAAGTATGAACAAAATACATGGATCAAGTCAAGGAGTGAAGTAGAATGAACCCTGACTTCAGGGTTAGAATCTGCATTTAAATTTCAGCTGTGAGACCTCAGAGCAGCCTCATTTTTCTCAGCTGTCAAATGAAGATAGTATCATCTATAATATCATGTTTGTATGATACTCACATATTAATACAAGTGCTTTTTAACATACAAGGAATTGTGCAAATATAAGGAGGGTCACTCTAGAGTAAGTTTTGAAATCTTACTAATCACTCTCTAGAATATCAATACTAGCTCCCCAAAAGTACTTTCTTTGAATCAAATTCCCTAAAAAGCCCCAACAGAGAATGAAAACTACTAGTCAAACATAAAGATTATGAGGTATGGTAAGTTCAGGAAGCATTTTTCAAAGGGAAGAAAAAAATGGGAGTAGGTTCCTTCAGATTTTGCCTGAGAAAAGGCAAAGGAAGATGGGCCTTTTCACTTAACATCAGAAATCCTAAAAAAATCTTGGAAACCTGCCAGATAATGCTTGAGAAGGATTAACAGTGGCAGATCCTGATCTACTGCACAACCTTTGCCCTAAAAAGTTACCATTGCTGTAATCACAATCACCATAGGGCTCAGAGAACCAATGGAACCAAAAGCTGTATTATCAACCAACTGCACAGTGAATTTGATATTTGTCAAAGTTACTTGTATAAGAATGTAAAACCCATGAGAAGAAAAAAAAATGGTCTATGGTAAACTTGAAGCTGAATCCTAATTTACCTGAAAGTGTAGTTTCCAGGGACGAGTTTACTTAGTTTTAATATTGCTGTATCTTCAGAAATCTTCTCTTCTCTCAGAGGCCCTTTAAGTTCTTCCCAATGGTACTGAACGATTTTATCATCATCAGTGCTTTCTTGACCATAAAGAAACATCAGTTACAACATGAGAACGCTTGGTCTTAGCACTTATCCAGTTTACACAAACCAGGGCAACTACACAGAGATTTGAAGCTAGGAAAACTTCACGAAATTACAGACTATCTCTCCAGAATGTTTCTTCCCTATGAATACTGGGTCATTCTGCCTCTCTATGTATATTCCACTGTGTAGTTTTCCAAGGACCCCAACACAGGAAACCTCTAGTTAAAATGCTACTGTATGAAGAAAGAAAAGTCAATAATTCTTAAACACATAAAACAATACTCAACCTCATTTAAAAGAAATGCAAATTAAATTTGCCCTTGAGATAGCATTTTTTAACCTATCAAATTGGTAAGGAACAAAATTTCATAAAACATTACGTTGGTAAAGGTGTGGAGAAAGAGGACCTCTCATCAGTCAGGTATAAGCATAAACTGACACAACCCCTATAATGAGTAATTTGGCAATCTTTATCTCTGCCCCTGCATTTCTTCTATAAATTTATCCTACTACTTGTACATGTGATAAACATTATGTTTACAAGATTATTTGTTAGGCAAGTGATCGCTGGATAAAAGCTCCTCAGTCAGGCGTCCCAGGTACTTATCTTGCTATGATTGGAAGGAACTTTGGTTTCATGAATAAAAATAGCAAAAGAATGAAAGTAATCTAAATGGTCATCAATAGAGATTGATCGAAAACAAGTAAGAACTTGTACAATGAAATTATATATCTATATTATGGAATGCTACTTAGTCATTTTTTAAAAAAAGAATAAGCATCTTATGTGTTGATTCAGAAAAATTCTCCAACATACAAAAACAAGCATCACACACAACAGCATATACAACGTGCTTTCATTTGTGTAAATACAAGAGAGGACTATATATGTATTTTCTTATATACATATAAAATCTCTCTAAAAAGATACATAATACCATTGGTTGTCTGGAGGAAAACTTGTTAGGAGACAGGGATGGTATAATTATTTTCACTGTATATATTTGCATATTATTTAACTTTGACCTGTATAAAACTGTAAAATAAAACAGTACAATGTTAGCCCTTTCTACCACACTCTATCACAAGGGATTCTTCCTGTTCTCCCTCATACCTCTTGGCCTGCTATCATCCTCCTAGCCTCCTCTTCTTGCCAGCACTGTCAAAGTGAAATGCTTAACCTTGTTAGAGGGTCCTCTGCTAAAGCTGTGATTGCCTCTGCCAAAAATCATCATTGGTACCAAGATAGTCAGGGTAAAAGGACTTTAATCAGTCTCCCAAAACAAAAAAGCAAATACTGGTGAGAGGATAGGTCTAAAACCTCCTGCACCATACAGCCATGACTAAGGGCAAAGACTCAAAAATCCTCTCATGTCACTCATTGGATGACACTACTCTGAAGAGTAAAATATTAAGGAGCCCAGATCAGGGTGTGGAGTGCATTCTGTGAGTGTCTCCAGGAGGAGGCTGATGAGAATCTTGTTAGGCAAGTCATGGCTGAGTAAAAGCTCCTCAGGTGCTCGCTTCAGCAGCACGTATACTAAAATTGGAACGATACGGAGAAGATTAGCATGGCCCCTAGGGAAAAAAAAAAATGCTCCTCAGTCAGGCCTCCCAGTTACTTATCTTGCTATGACTGGAAGGAACTTCAGTTCCATGAATTAAACAGGCAACTCCATCTAAGCAAATCTGAAAACCAGTGAGTTTCAACTAAAATCATGCTAACTAACTGCATAATCTCAGTTTCTTAACATCTCAAAGCAGAAATGTTACTTCAAATAGGCTACATGGGGATTTTAAAGAAGGCCTGTCTGGTATGCTGCTTTTCAATCAGTTGCTTCAGATAGTTGTCCTTCCCCTAAAACGGTCAAGATGACTGGCCTAAACAGAACACAGACATAGCTGGCCCCATATCTTCTACTAGAGTTTTCTACCAGAGTACACAGTGAATGTTCTTCTGAAACATCATGCTTAGATAAGTACTCACGACTGCCATCAATGACTGTAGAAGTGGTTGGCAAAGAGATCTCCTGGAACTGAGGTGACACAATAGCAATGGGGGGCCGATTCTTACGGGGCGCTGCAAGAAAGTGACCCAAAAGAAATTGGGAAAGGGGCTTTAGAAATTACAGGAGGAGCAGGCTGTATCTGAGAGGAGTATAAATCAATTTCCATTACATCAGTGGTCCCTAACCTTTTTGGCACCAGGGACCAGTTTTGTGGAAGATAATTTTTCCATGAACAGGGGGTTAGGGTTGGGGCTTGGGGTGCAATGCATGGTTTGGGGTGCAATGCATGAAACTTCCACCTCAGACCATCAGGGATTAGATCCTCATAAGGAGTGCACAACCTAGATGCCTTGCATGTGCAGTTCACAATAGGGTTCATGCTCCTGTGAGAATCTAATGCCATCACTGATCTGACAGGAGGCAGAGCTCAGGTAGTAATGCTCACTTGCCTGCCACTTACCTCCTGCTGTGCAGCCCAGTTCCTTACAGGCCACAGACTGGTACTGGTCAATGGCCTGAGGGGTTGGGGACCCTTGCATTACATAATGATTGAAGCATCACCACACAGGAGAGTCACAAGACCAGATTGCCATCTGTCTAACATAAGACACTTGGGAGTATAAAGCCTCTTCCAAATCTGACCATTCCTAAGACCACACCCTGTGTATTCTTTCAATGCTCATGTGCTATCTAGTCAATGAAAAGTACTACAGCAGCAAGTGACTGGTTTCAGCCAAGCCTGACTAGATAAGCTTTGGGCAATAAAGGCCTTGGCAAGCAAACTGTCCCTTAGTACAGACTGTGCTGAAAAGCTAATGGGTGGTTTCTCAACCATCCCAGAGCTCATTGTGTGTGAAGTAAACTATGGTTAAGTGACGGGAAAGTCACAAACCACTCTGGTCCAGCCGAATGACTGTGAGCTACAAACCCAGTGGCCTTTTATTTGCAAAATGATCAAATGGTTTTGATGCTGATCACATTTTTAAGAAGGTGAAAGGATTATCTTGGATACAAAGTTCAAGGAATGAAAAGAACATCTATTACGGACAAAGAAAACAGCATTGAGAATTTATGCTGTATGTGTACCACTGTTCATACAGTCTGGATGTGTCTCCACCCAAATCTCATCTTGAATTGTAACTCCTACAATTCCCACGTTATGGGAGGAAGAACCTGGTGGGAAGTGATTGAATCATTGGGGAGGGAGGCTCTTTCCTGCACTATTCTCATGATATTGAATGAGTCCCATGAGATCTGATGGTTTTAAAAACAGGATTTTCCCTGGACAAGCTTTCTTTTTGCCTGCTGCCATCCATGTAAGATGTGACTTGCTCCTCCTTGCCTTCCACCATTATTGTGAGGCCTCCCCAGCCACGTGGAACTCTAAGTCCATTAAATCTCATTTTTTTTTTTTTTTTGTAAATCGCCCAGTCTCTGGTATGTCTTTATCAGCAAGAAAATGAACTAATACAGTAAATTGGTACCAGCAGGGTACCAGTGGGGTGCTGCTGAAAAGATACCCGAAAATGTGGAAGTGACTTTGGAACTGGATAACAGGCGAGGTTCAAACAGTTTGGAGGGTTCAGAAGAAAACAGGGAAAGTTTGGAACTTGCTAGAGACTTGTTGAATGGTTTTGCCCAAAATGCCAACAGCAATGTGGACAATAAAGTCCAGGCCGAAGTGGCCTAAGATGGAGATGAGGAACTTGTTGGGAACTGGAGCAAAGGTGACTCTTGCTATGTTTTAGCAAAGAGACTGGTGGCATTTTGCCCCAGCCCTAGAGATCTGTGAAACTTTGAACTTGAGAGAGATGATTTAGGGTATCTGGCAGAAGAAATTTCCAAGCAGCAAAGCATTCAGGATGTGACTTGGGTGCTGTTAAAGGCATTCAGTTTTGTAAGGGAAGCAGAGCAAAAAAGTCCAGAAAATTTGCAGTCTGACAACACAATAGAAAACAAAATCCCATTTTCTAAGAAGAAATTCACAATTTGCTGTACAAATTTGCATCAGTAACAAGGAGCCAAATGTTAATCCCCAAGAAAATGGGGAAAATGTCTCCAAGGCATGTGAGAAGTCTTCACGGCAGCCCTTCACAGGGGCTGGAGGCCTAGGAAGAAAAAATGGTTTCATGAGCCAGGCCAGGTTCCCCATGCTGTGTGCAGCCTAGGGACTTGGTGCCCTGTATCCCAGCTGCTCCCATTTGGCTTGAAAGGGGCCAATATAGAGCTCAGGCTGTGGCTTCAGAGGGTACAAGCCTCAAACCTTGGCAGTTTCCACATGGTGTTGAGCCTTCAAGGGCACAGAAGTCAAGAATTGAGGTTTGGGATCTTGCGCCTAGATTTCAGAGGATGTATGGAAACACCTGGATGTCCAGGGAGAAGTCTGCCGCAGGGGCGGGGCTTTCATGGAGAACCTCTGCTAGAGCAGTGTGGAAGGGAAATGTGGAGTTGGAATCCCCACATAGAGTCCCTACTGGGGCACTGCCTAGTGGAGCTGTGAGAAGAGGGCCACTGTCCTCCAGACCCCAGAATGGTAGATCCACTGACAGCTTGTACTGTGTACCTAGAAAAGCCACAGACACTCAACACCAGGCTGTGAAAGCAGCTGAGAGGGAGACTATACCCTGCAAAGCTACAGGGGTGGAACTGCCCAAGACCATGGGAACCCACCTCTTGCATCAGCATGACCTGGATGTGAGACATGGAGCCAAAGGAGATCATTTTGGAGTTTTAAGATTTGATTGTCCTTGCTGGATTTCAGACTTGCATGGGGCCTGTAACCCCTTTGTTTTGGCCAATTTATCCCATTTGGAACAGATGTATTTACCCAATGCCTGTACCCCCATTGTACCTAGGAAGTAACTAACTTGCCTTTATTTTACAGGCTCATAGGCAGAAGGGACTTGCCTTGTATAAGATGAGATATTGGACTATGGACTTTCGAGTTAATTCTGAAGTGAGTTAAGACTTTAGGGGACTGTTGGGAAGGCATAATTGGTTTTGAAATGTGAGGACATGAGATTTGGCAGGGGCCAGGAATGGAATGATATGGTTTGGCTGTGTCCCCACCAAAATTTCACCTTGAATTCTAACTTCCACAATTCCCATGTGTCATGGGAGGAACCTGGTGGGAGGTGATTGAATTATGGCGGCAGGTCTTTCCCGTGTTCTCATGATAGTGAATGAGTCTTATAAGACTTGATGGTTTTAAAAATGGGAGTTTCCCTGAACGAGCTCTCTTTTTGCCTGCTGCCATCCATGTAAGATGTGACTTGCACCTACTTGCCTTCCACCATGATTGTGAGGCCTCTCCAGCCACATGGAACTGTACTCCATTAAACCTCTTTCTTTTGTAAATTGCCCAGTCTCAGGTACGTCTTTAGCAGCAGCATGAAAATGCACTAATACAACTGTCCAACTTTTCTTAAAATTTATCTGAAAATGCAAAATAAGATACCTTCCTACTGCACTGTGATCTACCAACAGTGGTTCATTTTTAAAGAATGGCAGGATTTTGTTACCAAGGTGAAAGAGACTGGTAGTGTTTAAATGAGGAACTCTGTGTACAAAGGCCCACATCTCTGGAAAGAGATCAGAAAGAGCTGGTCACTTGGCTGGTTCTCCTTCTGCATGCTTCTCCTAGGCTCTTGGCTTCCCTGTGTCTGTTAATTACAACACATGGTCCTCTCTCAGCATGGCCCACTTGGAGAAGTAGTTCTCAATAGATAAGCTATTGCTTAGGCCATACTGCTCTGTGGGCCATGTGTCCAGCTCAGTGTTCCAACTAGAGCACTGTTGGAACAAAGTCTGTACTTTCTATTATAACTATTCACCACATTGAACTAGGAATTGTTGAATAAATATACTTCAAAAAAATGGGAATTTAAAAAAACCCAAATCAAATTTCTATCTCCTCAGGAGTCCTGTAGAGGGAGGAAGGCAGATACATCCAGGGCTGTAAACATACCTGGCTTGACCGTCACGTTCACATAGCCTTCCCCATGGGCATTTTGACCCTCTACAATCACTTTAAATTCATATAGGCCTGGAGTGAGCTGCAGAAGTGAGAGAAGATCTCTTAGACAAACATAAAGCGCAGGAATTACATTTAAAATAACGTATATCTGAACTTTCCCATGCTGAATCTTTCATTCTTTCCTTGCTCTGTTTCCAAAATGGAAAAAGTAAACTAGCCTGTAATCCTAGCAGTTTGGGAGGAGGTGGGTGGTTGACTTGAGTTCCTGTGTTCAAGACCAGCCTGGACAACATGTCAAAACCCCATCTCTATCAAAAGCAGAAAAATCAGCCAGGTGTGGTGGCACACACCTGTAGTCCCAGCTACTCAGTAGGCTGAGGTGAAAGGATGGCTTGAGTCCGGGAGGCAGAGGTTACAGTAAGCCTAGATTATGTCACTGTACTCCAGCAAGAAAAAGTAAACTAGCTGAAGGGATAAACAGTGAACTAAAAAAAAAGGAAAAGAAAAGCTTTTAATGTGAATCTTATGACTAGCTGACTCTAGGACAACAGAAGGGATTTCAAACATCTCTGTACTCCCATTTTCTTTTTCAGAAGAACATTAGGGGCCCAAATATCCCACTTCACAGAGTTACAAAAT